CGGGTGGCGGAGTGAGCCCTGCTGCTGCCGCTTCCTCTGACCCCGCCGCTGGTGCTGCCAGCGCTCTCCGGGGTGTCGCGATAGCACGCGGGAAGGGGTAGGGCTGGGGTCTGCCTGGTGCTGTCGAGACTGCAGTCGGAGAGTCTCCTTTCTGCATGGAAGGAGAGGGGAAGAGAGCAAATAATCCAGAGGTATTGCTGAAATCCTTGTCTAATCCTCCGTGTTCGTCTATTTTGAGTAGCTGTGCTCAGATCATGCAAGAGATGGTGTTTTGTCTCTTCTCTCAGTTCCTTTTTTGATGGCTAGTGTTGATATGCATTGGAACCTTTTTTTCCCCTCCTTTGTGAAGGTAAGGAAGGTTGCGTAGCTGCACTCCTGAAATGCCACAGGTTGGCAATCAGAAGAAAGATGACAGCAGCTTGTTGAACGGCACGCATATTGAAACAGTCATGTGGCCTCACTTCCAAAAGTTCTAGCGCCACTGTCGTTTGCAGCAGATCTTCTGAATTCTCCTGGGAAAAAACCCCATGGGCTGGAAAGATGGCTTTCTTTTGTTCTGTAAAGTTCTACTCGGATTTGGCTGTGGAGCTTTTCATATCCTTGTTTCCCTTTTGCTGATTATGTTGCTAATGTGCCAAAATAAGTATGTGTTAGCATACTAATCCAAAAACGGGCCTGTGCTGCTGTAGCAGTAGCATCACCTTGCTTGTGCTAGCACTTTAGGTAAGAGATCTTCCTCTGCTTTCTCTAGAATTGGTGCGTAACACTTGATGGTTAAGTCCTTTCCCTGGACAGCTGCTGCCTTCTGCTGCATGTTAATGTCATGCACCTTAACTTGCACTGTGATCTGGAGGATTAAGGTTCATGCATCCCTGCTGGTGAGGATGTTAGTTATGCTTATATATGATCTTCCTCTCTCCCAAAACTACAAAAATACTATTTAAAAAAACTTTGGTTGGTAAGCAAGTTAAATATCTGGAAGACTGAAAAATACATTGGCAACTTTAATCTGTCTTCCACTCTGTATGTGTGTAAATATCCGTGCATAATTTCTCCATAGTGTTCAAGTTTCAGAGAAGGAATAGATTCAGAGGGTGAATTGGGGTTGTGTTACAAGCTGAGACTTTTTGTGGGGTCTCTGTCTCATTCTTTTCCAAAGTTAAAACATGTTAGAGAACAGGAGAATCCCAGCAGAATGGGCAAAGGCTATGCAAAAGCAGTCTTTTTACTTTGCTGCTTGAATGTTCTTTCTTCTGCACTAAATTCTTCTTTTACTCCATTAACTTCTTAAATTTGGATTATATTTCCCTTGCCTCCTACTTTGATATTAGAAGTCTAATGGGCAAGTTAAGTGCTGAGTTTAACTAGCAATATCTATTTGGAAACTTTCTGGGCAAGATTTCTGTATGTTTTTGGACAACCAAGTTTTTGACCTAGGTCCTAAAGAGTGTCTTATAGTACCTTTGTGAAGAAGAAAGCATATGTCTGTTAGTCTGCAGGTAAGCTCCTGTAGCTGCTGTGGATTTCAGCTTCATAACAAACCTATGCTTTGTATTCAGTCAAATTGAACTAAAAATAACAACAAAAAAAAATCCTTCATATTGATAGACCTATTTCTTTGGTGAGCTCTGTCTCAAATGAGGCAAATGCTTTTTGCCTCTGGCAATGAGATCCAGTGGTATAGAGATGGGAGCAGGGAGTCATTTATCTAGTGATCATTGTGCTGGTGACAGTTCTCTTTCAGTTTCCTTATCTGCACATAAGAATAAAGATAACTCGAGTATTTGTTGGTGAGATGGTTAGATTGTATAAGGAGTGAGTATTCCTGAACAGACCACAAATAAACAAGTAGTTACATTATTAAGTGAGGGTTACAGAGAAATCCTACGTAAGCTGTCCTAAGTGTCTGGGCACTATCTAGTCTCAATATTGAACGAAGGAAAAAGACTGAAAAAATCTTGTAATATAAACTGGTCTAAAACAGGCCAAGAGAGTTAAAGTTGCAGGGGAGCTCTAGATTCTAACTTACTTTGCAGGCTACTGTTTTTAATAGTTTTTGAGGTGACACTTGATGTCTTGTTTTAATTTTATTGTAATCTGTTAATGCTACTTGAATGTAAAATACCCTGCAAACCCTTACAGTCTATAGAACATCTAATTGAGTAGACTATGGTGTTGTTTACCAAGTGTCAAACATTGATCGAAGCTCTTAATGTGAAATCATGATGAAAACCTGATAGGTTTAAACTTAAGGCATCAGAATGGGAGGCACGGTGAGGTATAATTCTAATTGGCATAGTTACAGCTTTTCATATAAAACTTAAGGTGGTGCTTCAGGTTGGTGGTTGAGTAGTCATGCCTGGTTCAGACTTGGTTACATAGGTGCCAGAAGGTGGGTGGTGTTTAGTTTGTGAAGTTTAAGCTTTGTGTTTATTTGTCTATTTAGAAGCATCTCCAGTAGAAACTAGTTTTCCAAAAGTTCTGTGGGACAGAGTAATTTGTTAGAGTGACAGATTCATTTGCGAATAGGATCTTTTTAGGAGTGTGCTTTATTGGCATACCTGTAATGCTCTTCCAAAAGGTTGTTTTAGCTGAGTCACTGGCTATGAGATGTGTTTGGATGGGAATGTTCAGCTGGAGGCTTTGAGGAAAGAGTAATAGCATCAACCCCGTTGACATTTGGAAAAGGCAGTCTAAATGATATTAGAGATCAGAAATTGATGACTCATTATATGTCCTGAAACCCTGCACAAAAGTGTAGTGCAGATCTTTGTGTTTCCCAGTTCATTAAAATTAAAAACATATTGAAAGAGCTGGTGTAACACGGTCATTATGAGATATATTCCCAGCTTCTTGTCATCAGCTGTTTGACATAAGCAAGGTTTTATTTAGAAAATATTTTTTTAAAACTGTTTTTTTTTTTACTATTTCCATTGATTTTAAAACTGAGCAGCTTAGAAGGGTAAAAAGCCTAACAGGTGCTGCAAAAATCATCTTTCATTTGATAAGAAAGTGAAATATCTGTAAATAGAATAGGTTAAAGCTGTTAAAACTGTCTTTGTTCTTGTTCTCCTTTTTGTTCTACTTCTAATTTTTCAAAATATATTTCAGGACAAACTCCCATCTTTTCTACTTTAGTATTATCTGGTGCAGTGGGGAGTGGGAGTGGTCTATTAAATTTTTTTTGTATGTACTGTCTACTTTTGCTGTATAGTGGTCAGGCCATCTTCTACTAACAAGAGTGTATTTTTAATAGAAAAATTAACCTTATATGTAGAGTACATAACATCTGCATTTCGGTCTGGGATTTTGGAGAGCAGTTGTGTTCATGTTCCATTTACTTTAAAGTTGTTTTCTTATTTTGCTATGGGAACTGGTTAAACTTGTGTAGTAAGACCTGAAACAGTATATTAACAAGATTTTTGGCCTGATCTCTGTAAATACACAGAGGTCAGGAATTCTGCGGCAACATGTATGAATTAAAATATTATGTAAGAAGGAGGATTTATTTTTGGCTTCTTTTGGGTGGCTAAGACTACCTACTGTAATGTAGAATGCATTATTTTTTCCAGTAGTTCTCTTTCTGATTTCTGAGAAATGGCTTCTTTTCTTTTTCTCTTTTTTTTTCCCCCCCCCGAAGGATTTGTGAGATAATATCTGGTGATAAGGATATCATTGTTCCTCTGGGTATATCACCTTGGTTCCACCTGTGTTAAGTTTTAATGACAATCGATGGGTATGAACACATGGAAGAAGCAGCTTGTTACAGCAAAGAGTTTTTTAATATTAAGCAACTGCTTTATAAGTTGTCATGTCTGAAGACTGAAGCAGGACAAATTTTAACTAGACTAACATGCAGTTTGTAAAAGAAGCAAAACTTGAATTTTATTTATTTGTTTTAGTTCTCCAGCTGTTGCAATCTTTAATTGAAGTCTGTTTTTTTTCTGAAGTGATTCCTGGTGGACCAAACAAAAGAATTAAGTGAAGTAGGTCAGAATAATAACTTTTAATAATCTCTTCTAGCCTTAAATCTAAATGGGTAACCGTCTAGTGTGACTAACAGCTAGCAATAAGCTAAAATGACAGAACTTAGATTGTGCTTGCAAAGTCTGTTAAAACTTGTTTATTTTTCCATAAAACTTGCAAAATATTTCAACGTTTGTAGCTCCAGATAGTGTAAGCACATGACCTTTTCAGAGGATTGTACATGTGGAAAGCAATCTGTACACCTGAAATGAAACTTTACTTCTGATCTCATTTCTTGCAGAGTCTGCAGCAATTGAGGAGTCGGACTGAGTTCAAGTTCGGAAGTGCTTTACACATGAAATCTACTGGTGCTCTAGCTGATTCTGCCCTGTCACCATCTCAACAGGTAGAGTGCTTTTGTGCCTGAGCCATGCAGCAAGCATAGCTGTTCCTGGTGTGGTTGTCCTGTGTCAGTGTGCGGCCAAAGGTACATTGAGGCCTTTGGGTTTCTTCTTTCAGGAATGTGTCAAGGAGACAAGAATGCATGGCAGATCTGTCACAAAAGTACTCTAAGGAAGGTCTAGTAGTTTTGATTTTTAAGACTCAGAGTTTAATAGTGATAGAAGGAAATCTTCTATCATTCCATCAGAGCTTCTATTCTAAAATGGAACAAAGCCAGACAGTGGCGCATCAGTGGAGGGTCCACTTCAGTCAAAGCAGTCTTTTGCTTTGGGTCATTTTCCCCTTGATTTTTTTTTTTTTTTTGGCTGTACTGATTTAGGAGGAAATATCTTGGAAATATCTCACTGAATTCTCTGAATGGGAGAAAGATGGTTTGCCACTAGGGAGAAAGGAACTCTTAAAATGTTACTCAAAAGAATGCAAAATACAGGTCAGCTCCTGTAATAGGATGTGTGGGGCAGGAGTAGACATGGAAAAGCTTTTCTTTATAAGGTTGACATTAAAAAGTTGCATTTCCTTGTAATTTTAATACTCACTATTTTTGCTGTAGTTAGAAGTTTCTTTTTGTCTTGCTCTGGTTTGTTTTTGAGGTAGATGGATAACTTTAAATTGCGCTTCAAAAAGCGGTTAGAACATACTCCTTCAATGCTAGATCACTGATAAAACTAGAATCTTTCCAGAAGTACATATCCCCCTGAGATTTTTTTCTTGCAATAAGAAGCCATGTTTTGAGCCTGAGCTTTTTTTCCCTCTTCCGTGTAATACATATAAATTGCTGTAGACTACGATGGTAATGGTAGAAGTAGCATACTACTTGTGTAGTAGTTTGGGCTTTAGTAATTGAAGCTCCTTCTCATGTGTTCAGTGTTTAACAAAAAATAATGTAGACTCATTCTAGTATGTCCAATATGTGCAGTCACTACTAGGCAGGGAAGATGCTCTCTTCTTTGTTGTGGGTGAATTTGTTTGAAAAGGCAGTGCAAACCTGTCTGTCCAAACGTTTTGAATATAGTTTTAATTTCTCTGATCTACGTAGTTGTAACAGAAGCCAGGGTTGTCCTGATGAACTTGGGGGTAAGGAGCGGTAATTTGTATCCCATAAGGTTGAGATTTTAAGTGTGGCACCTGAAAGGATTCTACTTCCTAAAAGTATGTCTGATGTAAACCAGCTTGAAGAAATACAAGGCTTCATAAAGTTCCTGTCAGAAACTTCTCTTTGAAATTGGTATAAAAAATTAGTATAAAAAAGATCAATTGCCTAGTATATAAGATACTGAAATATAGCCACATGTAGTACTCTATTGCTTGTGCAACTGAGACACATACCTTTAAATTTGTCATCTCTTAGTCACGTTATTTCACCTTAACTGGCAGTTTGTAATGTTGTTGGTTGTTCTTTTAAATTTACCATTTTAAAGGGCAGTTGAAAATTAGTGTAGCATTAGATTAACTTTGCTGTATGTCCCTGTCTCCTGTCTTCCCAATGCTATGGGGAGACATTTGAGCAGGATTTGAGCTACTCAGCTCCCTAATATGAGGACAGTGGTTGCGCTGGCTTTGGAAAAGCCTCAGGATGAGACTATTTAACCTTAGACTTTGTGGAGTCTTGAGCGGTAGAGTTAGAGCTGCCTTTTGTTGCTCACCTCAAGCAGGGATGGCAACTAGCGGTGGCATTTGCCATTCTCCAGTTGAAATGGTGTCGAAGACATCCTCCTCAACCTCCAGTTTGTGTTTTTCATTGGTTATTTGAAAACTGTTAAATCAGAACAGACCTCCAACCAACCAACCCAAACACCAGCACCCCCAAACCCAAAAAGGAAACATAACATGCATAACGTAGAAAGTTAATGCAGCCATGCTATTGTAGTAACAGACTGAAGTGTTGGATTTTAGATACAAAAATTGCTACACTTTTTGTGCAGGATAAGGATGACAAGACAAGCTTACCTTCTAGAGACTGCAAAGCTTGTTTAAAGCATTTGATAGTTAGACCTGTGAATCAAGGTGAATGATAGTTGTTCTCCTATGCATGGTAGGATATAGAAAAATAAAATAGCTTGTTCAATAGTTATCTATAGTAGTGTCAATTCTATTTTGGCAGAATATTGTAAAGCTTTTTTTTTTCTTTTCTCTATAATACTGCTCCTCTACCTCTTTC